TGAATAGGTACCTTAGTAAATTAGTTTGGGTCGACCTCTATAGGTATACCTAATGCTTGCATAAAAAAAAAGCAATATTATCGAAAAATTCCGAAGATTATTCAAATTTTACCTAAGATTATCTCTTTGGAAATACCAAAACCAAAAACATTCGAAAAATTTAGCACCTAAATAACAATAAAAATAAACAATAAATCAACTATTTAAAATCCCGTCTGCGCGGGTGTTTATTGAATTATTATGTTCAACTATATAGTATGGTGGCAATCAATCACTCTCGAACAATAAAATACCAATATAATTGTGTGTAACAATAGAATGAAGAATTTCCAGCAATCCAAAAGTGTGAAATTTAAATTTTTAATTTTATGTGGCGCCTTGTGGTTTTTTCCCCGAAAATAAAAGAGTATTAAATCTTTCGGTTGGCATATGTGCCAATTTTAACAGTTTATGGACGGTTTTAAATCAAGTTGTGATGTTATGGCATTCTTATGGTGATTTTGAACAAATAAATGTAAGAGAGGGTGGTGGGAATTCCCCAAGAATACCCCAACAAAACATAATAGCAAAGTAGGTAAAACGATCCTATTCAATAAAAATAGCTGAACATCAATATTATGCAATGCGTGCCCACAATAAAATTTTAAATCTTCCTTAATCCGCATTACCAATGTAAATTGAATGATAAAGTAATTTGTGTGGGGACATAAGGATGTTTAAATTCAAATTTGCTTTAATCCTCTAAACACTTCCTTATGTATGTGACCTTTTTGGGACCTTAATCTAATTTATAAACTTTTTACTGCGTTGTTTGTTTGTTAATACTTATATATTTAAATAAACACAGAAACATTTTTCAAATATTTTAAATTATTCTAGCCATGCCATGTGTAAAGTATGTAGGTATTCATTAAAAAGAATAAACAAAAATATAGAGAACGTAATAGAAAGTTTGTATTTTTTTACTTATATATATATTTTTTTTTTGTTTAATCCCTGGTTGTTTCTTTTGTAGGACCATCAAATATTCCTTTTTAAACTGTATATAAAAACAATTTAATTTATCAATTATGAAATCGTAAGCAATGATTATATTATAAATAATATTTATATAATCATTGTTTATCACAATCTTAATACATATAATATAAACTAAATTGTAGTGGGCAACAATAATAATAAACTTATTAATAAAATTGTTTGATGTTTTTTTTTTCTTATTGTGTTGTTGGTTGTGTGTGTGTCAAATGAAAATAATCGCTCCAAAAAAATTCAGGTAGTTAACTATGAAAATATGAATTAAATTGATTAAAACGAAATCCGAAATCTTCTGAAATTTGGCCATACATAAGACATTTTGGTTGTTCCAATAATGAAAATTCAGAAAATTTTAGTTAAGATAGAAATTTACGTAACTAGGTATCTACTAAAATGATGAAATTACAATTTTTTTTATGTTGAAATTTTGCGTTTATATGATCAATTCGGCCCCACTAAACTCCATACACTAAATTATACTGAGATTTGAAGCCGAAATCTATGAAAAAAGGGACTCAGAAAATTGAAAAATTGATAAATAAATCTATCCAAAATTATTTAACGCGATTTTATTTCTGGACGAGAGAAAAGATGTCGTAAATTCACACCTTAAAGACAACTGAGCCTTGAAAGACGTTGGGTTTTGTGACATACGACGTTTTTAAGATGCGTTAAACACGTAAACTGACGTCTAAGAAACGTCTTGAATGTCTTTTATGGACATCTTATAGGGACCTTTTCAAGATGTCTGCAATAACTTCCCACAGAATTCATTTCCTATTCAATTTAGAAGTTACTGAAAACCATTTAAAATGCTACAAAACACTTTAAGAATGTCATCTCGTTTGTGCACATATTAGGTACCTACGTCTTCAAAATGCCTCTGTACTGTCTGGTTTGGCACATTTTTCAACTTTGATACCTTGACTCAGACTGTTTGAACAATGGCTGCAACCCCTCCAGCTAGTGAGCACAGAGCAAATAGACCTGCGAAAATCGAAGAAAGAAAATTCTAATTCACATCAAGAATCAAAGAATAAAGAATCATATTAATATTTTTAACAATGAAAACAGCATGTGTGGAAATAGAAAGGCTATTGAAACAAAACAATGCCTTGATTATGTCCTTCCGGTGAACATTGAAAAACATTGAAATGTTTCTTACTTATTTTGACTCAATGTGATACTTTAGCTCATTATCATCATGATTTCATCAACAAGAAAAAATTCACAGATAATTGATTCAACAAAATTAATCACTCCAATTGAATGTTTGTTCCCAATTGTCAGAGGAAGGATATACCATACGGAAGACAAAAGAGTGTAATAAAGCACACACCTTGAACACATTCCTCACACAAACAACAATAACCAGCTCGTGATTGTACTGTCAAAAATTTAACTTTTGATTTTGACCCAAATTGCGATGGTCGAAGCATATTGTTAATCGTTATTTTTAATCTATTGTAAAGTGTGTGGGCGCTGATTTGAATTTGTTTTTCAATACACCCCACGGCGAAATGATTTCAGATAATTTAAGTTGAATCAGAAATAGGCCTTTTTGAAAATAATATCCTGAAATCTAACAAATAAAACGAAACTATGTAATATGTTTTACCCAAAAATGGTCTTTATAATCTTTTATTGACGATCGTCAGTGAAAAAAACCCAAGACGGAATTCCCTGGCATATTGGACCAGCGTTATTTTAATTTCGCGATCTTTTATTTTCTGATTAGATCCGTCTTCTGGGCCAAAACCGTCGTCAAACAACATCGTAAAATTGGTAATTTATTCAAAAGCTCGGAATTCCGAACCGAAAAGGTTTCCTTATGTGTATCGATGTGGTTTATTAGGTACCGATGACCACGTTTTTTTGGAAGAAGTTGGTAAATTGCTAAAATTACAACTATTTTTTTCTTTCACACATTAAACTGAATTTCCTGGTAAAATAGGTACCATAATAAGTCAAAACGGAAATAAAACTTTTATAAGAAAGTCTTAAGAGGAAATAGCATAGCAAAGTAAATATTGCATTTCGAATAAATTCCCAATCGGTAATAAATCCATCTCGAGCAAACAGAGAAAGTCATGGGAAGAACGAAGCCTTTTATTATGATAATAAATTGAAGAATAATTTTAATGGTTCGGCCGAACCGCAATGTCATAAACCACTTGTAATAACACACCTTGACGTGGAAAAAAAAACTACACACAGGACTTTCTTCCGAGTGTGGTAACATAAAATCGACCTCCACCTTTCTGATGATGGTCAATGATCTCGGACCACTTTCTACGTACAGTTTGTTTTTGCTTTGATCAAAAATGGATTGACAATCATAAGGATTTTGATGGTAGGTGTATTTTCTTTTATTATGTAACATGTATGTTATCTCTTTAATACTGTAAATCACTCCTATTAAGAGTTAATTTTTGAGATTTATAATAAAATGTAATGTCATAAACTGGATATCATTGTAAAGAGAATCGAAAGACCTCTTAAACGAGATGCAACTCAACCCCCTTCTCCTAGGGGTGAGTTTGACCCTGCCCAAGGGATTGCAGGTGAGGGTTGGCTAATACACCTAATACTTAAATGTCCCCCTCAAAAACAAAGTTGAGGTGTTTAAGCGTTTCATTTTCACATGACAATTAGCTCCTGTTCCAACATAAATGAGAATCGTACCAGAACCAGTAATCTGGTTTTGTTGGATAGTGATGCACGATCATTGGCAGTAATGGGAATCGTACTAGATCTCCCATGCTGGTGAATGGACTTTCCGGAATTCTCAGGAATCATTTCCTAAAGTGTCTGCTATCCAGAGTCGTGGTAGCCTTCCACTTGATCAGCAAAAACTTCATCCAAGACACATTTTCGAACATGAGTGACGTGACTTGGTTGTACAAATCTTGTGAAGTTGACTATCAAAACTAATTCGCCTCCAATCAAACAGCGCTACTACCCGCTGTCTCGTGCTTTACAGACCGAGGTCAATGCTGAGTTGGAGAAGATGTTGGTTGTCGTTGAATCTTCTGACTCTCCCTGGTCGTCTCCCATAGTCATGATTAAGAAGAAAACTGGCGGATGGCGTTTTTGCGTTGACTATCGCTCTCTTAATCGTGTTACGGTCCCCTATTCTTATCTTATCCAATCCCTTATGTTTCGTCCACTCTCGACAAATTGCGAGATTTTAAGTATTTGAGCACTTTGGAAATTAAGTCCGCCTATGTACATTATACAAAATTGAGTTTGATTACATAACTCCAAGAAATCCAAACTCGAATAGTCCAATCGAAAGATTTCATTCCACGCTACGTGAAAGTATAACGAGTTTAAAACTCCAAAATCCGAATAAGAGTATGTATTATTGATCTAATGACAATCGTTATATTGAATTATAATAACAGTACTCATAGTACAATAAATCACACCTTTTTTCAAGTGATTAGGAGATTTGAATTATGCCATACCCATTGAACAAAGAGAAAATAAACTAATAACTGACTGATACCAGTAATGTCCAGTTGCCCATCTAATACTTTTCCATTTCCATAAGTTGAACATTTGACAAATTAATTGATCGACTGAAAATTACCGTTCTAGAACGGTTTTCATGTCTGTTGGAACAGTAAATGCCTAAAATCAATGCCGTTTCGTTTTCGATGGGCAACCCTGTATAATGCAATATAGTTGATCAATAATATTAAAACTAAAATAAATTTCTCCTCCAGTTCAACCTGTCTGGACTTGAAAATGCTCTTGCATAACCTACCTATTTTTATCAATGCAGAATTATTGCATATTATTAAGAGACAAATATAAAATCATAATTAAGATTAGATTGGCATTAACTGGTTTTAGTAGTTTGTTGTCATAACGTTATCTTTCAGCATTGTAACAAAGAAATAGGTAGTAAGTTGGTATAATAGACCAAAAATAAGTTCAGAGAGAATTAGGTAATTCTTTGAAAGGCCGACATAATTTTATTAAAAAGTTGCTTACCTACCTATAAACATAGGTGCGCAACTGACAATAAAGTACTGGCACATCTCTGTCTGGCATTGACAAAAATAAGACATTTTTATTTCCAAATAAGTACTTTTTGAATTATTTTAGGATAAATTGTTGCAAACCTGGTATTTCTCTTTTACCTACAGTGTCATGGCATGCAAACTAATATGGACAAATTGGAAAATGTATTGGAAAACAATTTTCGTCATAGTCTACCCGCTAGTTTTGTTACCAGTGTTTTTGCTGAGCAACACCAGCGCATATCGTTGCTTGTACATTGTCCTTATTATGGCTGGATACTGGTAAATTTGGTACTATACATTCTTTATAAAATTGTTTTACGAACTGCAAAAAAATCTTGAAGGGTATGTGAAGCTTTACCTCTGGCCATAACCGCTTTGATACCCATGGTATTATTCCCCCTGATGGGTGTATTGGATTCGGACAAAACGTCGATATGTTATTTCAAAGAAACGAATATGATGTTTGTCGGTGGTTTGATCATAGCCGTTGCAGTGGAACATTGTAATTTGCACAGGAGAATGGCGTTGCATGTTATTAAAATAGTAAGTATATACCAACTCCTACGATATTACAAATTTCTTGTTTTGTGAATCTATAAAACCCGACATTATTTACAGGGTGTTCCTAAAATTTTCCGTTCATGCATTAATCTCGAGTATGAAAACATGTTATCTTGTTTCTATTAAATTCTTTTACTTCTAAGATTCGCGTTCGAATGCCACCAGCAACATCCTCAGGTAAAACATGGAGAATGGTATCTGGACATCGAGAAAAGTTGATGATTACACTCGCCAATGAATTTTCTGCCATCAAATCCAAAATACATAATGAAAGTGTGAAATTTCTTTGTGATCAGTCTTTATTATTATGCAAATTTCCATTTGGTAGAAAATAGCTATTTTCGACTCCAGATTACATAATATTCTAAACCAAACATTCACTCCCTTTCTAGGTCGGTTGCAGTCCTAGAAAACTGAACATAGGCCTAGCAACAGTGACAATGATGGTATCCATGTGGATATCGAATACGGCGGCGACGGCAATGATGATACCGATTGTCGAAGCCACCTTGATGGAACTGGAAGCTCAGGGCGTGGGGAAAATGTGGGAACCTTTGCCAGAAGAGGACGCAGAAGCCGCTCCGAAAACCGCCGAAGCTAAAGAGGAGGAATGGCAAAAACAGAGAAAACCTACCAACGCTACAATGTGTTATTTTATGTCTACTGCTTATGCGGCTTGCATTGGTGGTAATGGTTGCATCATTGGAAGTGGGACGAATTTGACTCTCAAAGGTGAAAATATTACTTATCTTTTGGTCTAAAAGAAACTTTCAAATATTCAATGATCTTATATTTTATTTCAGGTATCTACGAAAGTAGGTTTCAAGATAGTCCAGGGGTAGGATTTGTAGAATGGCTGTTTCTCAACGTACCCATGATGTTAATCATGTTGTATCTTTCGATACTGTGGCTGCAAGTTTGGTTTATGGGACTTTTCAGGCCAAAGTCCGAAGACGCAAAGAGCATCAAGTGAGAAAATCAAATTTTCTTTAGGGAAAAAAAAGTAAAATGTGTAAGCATAAGGAGAGAAAAACTCAAAAAAGAATCCATCTCTTATATAGGAGCTCTTTTAAACCTTGAAAAGCATTTTTCCTATTTGTTTTTTGTCTCTGAAAGTTAGAAATTACCTTGAGATACTCTTCTGGCTCTTCAACAATAATTGTCTCTGAACGGGTCTTCCTTCCAAGTCTTGGACTCTGGATGTTATAAGTTCTTAGAAAATACTCTTCTCCGCTATCTAATCAAATAAAATATAATCAGAATCAGAATCCAGAAATCAACAAACTTATTCCACATCACGTACGAACCGACGACAACCCAGCTGATAATATATCAAGAGGGATATAAGCTCAACTCTATTAAAAAATCACACAATGTGGTGGATTGGATATCATATATAAGAGGTCGTTTCTGGATAATAAATGCAAAACGCTGAGTGAAGACGATTATCAGCAACTGTGTAAGGTGCCTGCTATCAAGGCTCAAATAATCGAGCAACATATGGGAAATCTTCCAGTTTTCAGAATTACAATGTTGCGCCCATTCCTGAATTCGTGTGTCGACTACGCAGGAATTATATTCAAATCAAAACTACAAAAGGCAGAGATTACAAATCCTATAAAGGGTATATTTCAATCTTTGTCTTATGTCTTGCTACAAAGGCAATTCACATTGAAGTTATCAGTGATATGTCATCAGACACGTTCTTGGCAGCTTTCCAGCGATTTATTTCCAGATGGAAGATGTGCGCATCTATATAGCGACAATGGGCACCAACTTCATAGGAGCCAGTATACCTACTACATGATGAAATTTACAGTACAATACAGAAGTCAGAGATCCAAGATACCTTGGTTGCGAGTGGAACCCAATGGCACTTCATTACCCCAGCTTCTTCTCACTTTGGAGGATTATGGGAAACTGGCGTCAAGTCTATGAAGTACCATTTAAAACTAATACTTACTTATGAAGAAATGACTACATTTACTCACCAAATAGAAGCTAGCCTTAAATCTCGACCACTGTGCCTATAATCATAGATGATCCAGATGGTTTAGCAACATTTAACTCCAGGTCATTTTCTAATTGGAAGAGAAATTATATCTTTTCCCATACAAATTACAAGCATAAACTCGGACGTTGTTGGAAGATGGAAACTACTTCAGAAAACTAAGAAAGATTTCTGGAAGAGCTGGTCAAATGACTCTCCATCAATTTCAGCAGCGTTACAAGTGGAAGAATCATCAGAATTCGCTCAAAATTGGAGATTTAGTTCTAGTAAACGATCAGAATATCAACCCAAGCAAATGGCCACTAAGAATCACTAAAGTGCATCCAGGTAAAGACACAAACTGCTGTGAGTGGTTACTATAAAGAGAGCAGAAGATCAAGAGATCTATGCATCACTTAATTCCAATATTGTCAAATGCCGAAACTGACTAACAGTTTTAGTCCACAACAATAACAAACGAAGCCCAAGACAGCACTGAAAAAAGATATTGATCGCCATTCTATTCATTGTGGATGCTCCAAGGGTCCAAAGCGAATCAATATTTGATACATTATCCTCAACCAGGACATGGGACATGCACGATTCTATGAACGTTCAAGGTGCAATTCATCAATTAGACGATATCTGTCAGCAAGTAAAATCAATGAAAATGAACAAAAAATGCATGTCACTGATCCATCATTTCAAAGAAAAGGAAAAATAATTTCAATGGATACAAAACTGACCACAAACTGTGTTATCCAATCGTGGAAAAGAGAAGTTTTGGGAAAACTCTTAACTGCAGTATTCGGAGTAAACGATGAGATCTACATATGGATGTTGACGAATTAGACAAAAACCAGAAGGAGCTTATCAAGGTATCTAACCACGAAACCAAATTCATGCTACATGCTCTGTCCACTTTCAATGAAACCAAGAGCCAAAAAAAAAAAATAATTTCCTGTTTTTCTACTTCAAATTCAACTCCAAGAAGATCAGAAATTATAGTGTTCTTGTCTTTGGAAGGTCTGAAATTAAAGTTTGATATTCTAGGAGAGCCTGGAATAGAATTTTTATTCTTCTCAGTTGAATTTTAGCTCTATATAAATGCAAACATTGACGTTCTTAAACCGCTCTATTTCAACTGCAACTCTAGAATGGTCAGAAATCGAAATTCAAAACATTTCCAGTTCAATTTCTACTCTAGGAGAGTCAAAAACAAGAATTTTACTGTTTTTCTACTTCAAATTCAGCTCCATCAAGGGGATCAAAAATTAGTCTTCTTGTCTTTGGAAGGTCTGAAATTAGAGTTTGATTCCAGAATCAAAATCCAGTAATAATTAATGAATCGAAAAAAAAACCTAGGTACTCCAAGACATTTCGTAACTTTCCAGAATCAAAATCAAGTAATGAATCAAAAAAACCAGCTCCAGGCATTCTTTCAAAGTTCTTTTTTGTCATCCAATCCATGAAAATAATGTTACTTTCCAGAATCAAAATCCAGTAATGAATCAAAAAAACTTGAAATATTGAAAAACATTTTTTTCAAATTTGCTTTTTATCTCTGGAGTCAAAGTCTTTGTCTCTGGAGGTTATAGTTTTTTGGAAGCGGCTCTTCCTCGACATCTAATCAATGAAAATGTAACTTTCCAAAATCAAAATCCAGTAATATGAATTAAAAAAAACCTGCTCCAGGCATTAGAAACTTTTTCGCACATTGGAAAACACCCATATAGTCAATCAAAAAGCAACTTCTAGAATCAAAATGGAGCAATCACCTAAACCTTGGATGAATATCCATTTATTCAAACTGAAAGTTCTGGAATTCCCTGTATGATAATAACATTCTTCTCTTAGCTTAGGTAGAGAAGGAGAACTTGCAGCCAAGCAAGTAATCCATAACAAGCTTGTAGAAATGGGACCGATGACATTCCATGAAAAAGCGGTGGGATTTTGTTTCATACTTGTAGTGCTCCTATGGTTTTTTAGAAAACCGCAATTGATACCAGGATGGGCGGAAATGATAACAGACCATAAAGTAAGTAAAATACTTATGGGTAGGTACAGAGCTGTTGTAAATACCAAGAAAAAAGTACTTAAGTATTAAGTACAAGCTTCTTTTTCAATACGAATCAAGTACCAGTACAATAGTATAAGTACAGAAGGAAATACTTAAAATATCAAGTAAATTGACTTGAAATGTCCAAATTCAAGTACAAGTACGAAATTCCACGAAAGTCAGAGTCAAGTTTAGGTATTCACTTAAACTTGCATATTTGAAATGACACGTAGAAAAATGTACATATTCAAGTATTTTTTATTTCAAGTATTGTTCGAATTAAACTAACAAATTAGGCTACGACCAACCGTTGCAAAGATACCGTGGTATAAAGTCCCCACTCCTCTAGCACTGTGACGTCATATGCACAAAGTGAGTCAGACAGCCGGCGCTGGCGCGCGTTTTCTGATTCTCCTGCATAGATTAGCTCTGTTCCAACCGACATGAGAACCGTTCCAGAACCAGTAATTTCCAGTTGCCCACCTAAGTTGATGAACGTTTATCCTACTTGACAAATGAATTGATCGACTGGAAATTACCGAACGTTTCTCATCTCGTTTGGAACAGAGCTATTATCGACATTATCGTATTGTTTTCGCTTTCTCACACGTATTGCTCAGTCAGTTTAAATTGGTTTTGCAATTTGTGCGTGTGTTTATGACGTCACGCGATGAATCGACAAAACTTTATTTAGTCGTGAAGTAAATTTTGAAGTATTTAAAAATACTTCAATTGAAAATATTTACTTCAAGTAATTTCACTGGTACTTAAGTAATTTATTATCACTTAAGTACAAATTTTCAAAAGCTTTCAAGTAACAAATACTCGACTGATACTTCATCAAGTATTAAATACAAGTGAAATTTGAAAAACTTGAAATTGCAAGTACAAGTACCATCAAGGTTTGGATTAGTCTTAAGTCAAATACTTAAGTATATACTTGTACTTAAGTATTTACTTCAAGTATTCAAAATATTCAGTAGTACAACAGCTCTGGGTAGGTACCTGTTCAATTTTAAACCTTAGAGTGCGCTTAATCAAATGAAATGACTGGTTTATCGCACTACACTACACCTTTTCATAATATGTTAATATGTACCTATTTCAAGAGACCACGTCAGTTTAATTTCAGAAAGTTTCAATTGCAGTTTAGATTAGTAAATTGTATTTCGGAAAGCGTCAATTGTATTTTCGATTAGTTGAGTTTATTTCAGAAAACGTGAATTATATTTTAGAATTTGTTAGATGTAGTTTGGAAATCATCAGGTAATACTTTATACGCAGATTTTCCCATATCAATACAGGCTAGGTGTATTATAGGTGACCCATTATAAATTTCAATTAATTCTTAATTTACAATATTGATACATCTGAAATACATTTGATGAATTCTGAAATATAATTTCTGATCTACAAATAAAATAATCTGAAGCACAAATGATGTTTTCTGAAATAAAACTCTGATACAAATGACTTTCCTCTGAAATACAACTAGACCAAAACTGAAACGCAAATGACGTTTTCTGAACTACAAACTGACAAAATTGAAATACAAATAAAACTCATCTGAAATTAAACTTACACAACTGGAATATTGACGTATTCTGAACTAGAAATGATGAATCTGAAATAACTACAAGTGATATACACTCTGAAATACTTATGGAAAAGGTGTAGTAGAATTTGAAAGAGATGAGAGGTGTAGAGCATGTTTCTAAAGTTCAACCTTAATTCTTAATTTTCTGAAAAATTTCTTCAATTTCAATTCTCTAAGGGTAGGGGAGATCATACACCTGACCTAAAAAAGAGAATGTATTTTTAAGTTAATTTTACCTCAAACCCCCTGCCATGATTGGTTTCAGAATAAATTAAGGGTTGAATAACGCAATGTTTTAATCAGGATGAAAGGAAAACTTGCAAGTTCCCAGAGATTCAAAGACAGACAAAAACTAGGAAAATATTTTTCTAATTTTGTTCTTGAGCTCACTCTCTATGTTAGATTTTCCTTATAAATAAATAGTCTATTAGATTTTTTTCTTTTGAGGTGAAAGATGCCACCGCTGCAATGATCGTTGTGTTCATATTGTTTATTATTCCTTCAAAGCCAGAATTTATTTATATGTTCAGTAAAAATGAAGAGAAAAGACCAAAAAAAGCGTCTGAAGGACTTATCACCTGGAAGGTATGAACCTTTTGTCTCTAACATATATTTTCAACATTACTCCTTCTGATACTAAGGTAGTTTTTTGAATAATAATTGCTTTTTATTGTTTTTTAAGATAATCCAACAAAGAATCCCATGGGGTCTCGTATTCCTTCTTGGAGGAGGCTTTGCAGTAGCCGACGCTTCGAAAGCTAGTGGAATGAGCAAACTTTTGGGAGATACTTTGGTAAAAGTAACCGAATTGCCTAAAATTTACGTAATGATGGTGACTTGTACGTTCGCAGCTTTCATAACACAATTCACCGGCAGCAATGTTGCGGTGGCTAATGTCATATTGCCTGTGTTATCCGAAATGGCTGTGGTAAGAATTTCAATTCACAATAATTTGACTCAGAAAAACCACATACTTGGAATACCAGAAACTTCCTCTACTTTTCTGGGTGAAGATTTGATATAATCATTAACAATTTTTCTATTTACAGACAGCAAAAATTCATCCAATGTTCCTTATGATGCCAGCTACCTTAAGCTGTTCCTTTTCCTATTGTTTGCCAGTTTCGACACCACCGATGGCCATAACAGCCGATGCCTGCAACATGTCGTCTTCGAAGATGTTCAAGTGTGGCACAGGTGTCGTTATAATATCGTTAGCGACGTTATTTGCCGTATTTCCATTTTTGGGGCCGCTCATATGGAATCTGGAAGAGTTTCCAGATTGGGCAGCTTAAAATCGATTTTGATAAGTTTGAATTATCAATACAAATTTATTTTTGCAATAATTGAATATTTATTACAAATATAAAATGCCTCCTTATAAACTAAAGAAAAATAATTTACCTAAAAAATATAAATAAATCATTGACTACAGTATCTTTATTGAGATGGTGCGAGAGCAGTATAATAAAGGCAGGACAAAAATACGATGTTTTTTTTTCTTAAACAAACACCCTGTATCTTGTTGTAAATTCGGCTTTTCTATGCCCTATAAATTATGTAAACAAACTACCAGAAAATTAATGGTAAAAATTTTATAATAATTACATAAATATAAAGTTTAGTCGCAAAAAGGAACTGATTGAGAAATGCACAGTATAATTTTCTAAAATTCAAATGCATTGGATTGAAAATAATCCAACAATAAATTAAATCATATACAATATACATTCACTCAATTAAAAAAAAAATCACAATTCAATAATAATTTCCTTAAAATTATAGTTCAGTGTGTTTTGGTTTAAGTTCTTCTATCCTTTTCAAATATTCGCTCTTTTCGATGCAGCCTTCGCACTCTTCGCCCCAATCGTTGAGGATCTTTTTCAAATCCCTGACTTTGAGTTTTTTGAGGTCGACGGTGTTGAGGTCGATTTGCACGTCGTATCTGAGTTCGCAGATTTGGGCGTCCTTTTTCTTCAATTTTTCGCAGATTTTATCCGACGGGAGAGACCACGTTATCGGTTTGGACATTTCTCCTAGGATGCCGGTAGCCGATTCTGCCAAACCACCAAGATAGTAACACTGAAACATACAAATTTGTCCATTTAGATTAGAATCAGATATAGATTTTTAATAGGCCTCCTTCAAGAACTTAAATGTATCTGAGTTCTCAATCTGTATTTCTGAAATATACACACAACTGACGGACTGAACATCTATAAAGGCCCTGATAAAATTTATCCTATTTTGCCTAAAAACTGCTCTAGACCTCTGCATATCATATTTATTAGCTCACTCGAATCTGGCCACTTTCCAGAATACTGGAAGTCCAGTTATGTAGTAACCATCCACAAACACAGAGACACTTCTAATATAAAAAACTACAGACCTATTAACATTTTGAGAACATTACCCAAACTGTTCGGAAAACTTGTATCCAAATATTTGACAGCTGTTTTATTTCCTTTAATTATTAATAAACAGTTTGGCTTTTGCGCAGGTCGCAATGCTGAACTGAACCTTCTATCTCACACAACAACTATCACAAAGGCCATGGAAGATAATTTTGAAGTACATTCAATATAAATATAAAGCCTTTTTCAAGGCCTTTGATAAGGTACCACACAATGTCCTAATTGACAAACAAACTAAATTTTGGGGACTCTCTGAACTCATGTTCAGGTACATCGAGGGCGACATAACTGGACGTAGCCAGATTATCAAAGTTAATAACTTTCTGTCAGATAAAATACAGGTTTCTTCAGGGGTCACACCTTGCCCCACTTATCTTCAACTACTTTGTCAATGATGCTGCCTCCTGCTTCAAATCTACTTTTTCTTTATTTTTTTTCTGATGACGTAGAGTAGAAATCAAACGAGAAGAAGCCACATGCGTTATCGTTTGTCTCACTTCATATGGGACGGACCCAGAGAAAAGGAAATCTGCTTTCTTTGTCAGCGCTAACGACAGTGGCTTCTTCTCGTTTGATTTTTACGCTAAAGTAATCTAAAATAATTTCGAATTTGGGAGACTGTTTGGATCCGCAGAGAGATTTGAATGGGTTTATGGAGTGGTGTGACTCAAATGGGATGGAGTTCAATACCTCAGAATGCAAACTAATGATTTTCTCTAGAAAAAGAAACATAACAACCTATAACTAGACAATAGAGGGTGAAATCCTCACAGTCTCTGAAACCATAATGGATATGGGAGTTGTTCTGGCCCTGAGCCTGTCGTATATTGATCATATAACATTCATAACAAACAAAGCATTACGGATGCTTAATTTATCAAAAGAAATACAAATGACTTCGACACCATCCATGCTCTGAAGATTCTATATTGCAGTCTTGTGAGATCCTGTTTAAAATATGCTTCAACCATCTGGAATCCCCATTATGATACTCATATCTCAAGAATAGAACGGGTTCAGAATAGGTTCCTATACTACATTAATAAAAAAAATTCAGAAACGAATTAACCTAGGAAACATTACATCAAAGATTGAACCTTTAAACACTGACCAACAGATTTTTATTTGCTTTTTAAATTGACCAACTCTATAGTGGACTGTCTACATCTTACCAGTATGGTAAATATCTATTGTTCCCAATAGAAAAACAAGAAACCAACAAACTTTCCAAGTTCCTTTCCACCAAACAAACTATGGAAAATACCTTTTTTTCAAGAACTATGTCACTTGCCAATGAAAAAAAGGAATTGGACTTTTTCTATTCACAAAAAAATACAGGGTTGTCATTATGTATGGAAACAGCCTAATATTCCAGAATGCGCGTGAAAAAATGTTCTACCTGGGTTGACTCTGTAACGGATAGAGATAGCTATGGTACTATTGCGAGGGTACTAACTATATTCTCTCTGTTTGAAATCAATAGATAGGGGACGCCAATAGAGACAGAGAAAATATCTCTATTCGTTACAGAGTCCCAGTCCTGGGGTTTTTGGAAATGCCCGATTCAATCAATGGTGGTATTTGCAATGTTGCCAAACAAAAACTGTTTCTAAGATGCCGTATGTAACTTGATTTTTCTAAATCAAAGTCCCTCTTTTCTTTATTTTCACTGTAATTAATTTAGCGTCCCAACATTACTAAAACCCCTAAAAGCCAAACCTCCTCCATTTGAGTTTCTTTTTGTCTTTTGTCTGAAATATGGCAACACAGCTTTTTTGTTGAAATGTATGGGAACAGTCTTATATTTCATTACAGGCTTTAGAAAAATGTGATAATCTGTATTGAAGATTTCTAGAAGGTCTGGAAGGCCCAGGGTAGGAAATATTGTACATTTTTCTAAAGTCTGAAATATTGTCCATTTCAACAGAAACGCTATGTTGCCATATTTCAAAAACCAAGTCAAATGGATGTTTGGCATTTACTTTACAGGTTCTAGTAATGTTGAGAGACTGAATTAATTACAATAAAAATAAAGAGGGACTTTCATTTGAAAAAATTAAGTATGTAACAAACATAACACAGATAACACATCATCTTTATTGGTAATGATTTCTAGAGATACAGATTTCAAGAAAGATTTGGCAACATGGAGACAAACATTCCGGTTCATTGTACTAGTTAACATTAGTCCACCAATCATATCCATCCTCTACTTTTTTACAGCATAGTACAGAACGCAAACAGGTTTAAGGTAGTGAACTGAGTTTTATGTTTAGTATATTTAACGCATATTGTCTTTGTGGAATTTTAAGGGGATTTTCCATTGCTTGAGAAGGATAATTTTTGTATTTTCGTAGTATATATACAGAAAACAAACACACATCACAAATGTTTGACCGTTGCCGCCATATTGAATTTATGTTTTGACAGGTCGTGGGATTGCCCTATTGTTGATAACAGACAAATAGATATATCGATTCATGCAGTCATGTTTTGGAATGATTTAATAATGAGAAATCTGGAATTTTTGGGACTCTGACGTCACAGTCTTAGCTCACATATCCGCAGCAGTTTAAAAAATACAATTTTTAGATCTAGATATAGATTTTTGCATTCTTTTAATGACATCTTAATGGGTTACTTTAGACGAGCAAAGTTCCTAAAGTTAACAGGTTGTCTGGTGATGGTGAGGGGTAACTTGATGACGTCATCCAGGGTGCCTTATGGATATGTTGAGGCACCCTAGATGACGTCATAAAAGTTATCCAGGCAACCTACCTCTATCAAACAACCTTGATTTTTGAGGGAAAGCAAACTAAGGTCATTATTAAGAGTAAACATATTTTTAATTTGATTTCAAATACTTACAAATCGGTTTTCCTTGTTTTTAAGGTCCTTACAGAAAAGCTTAAATTCCTTCTCTATCTTTTTGTGATCTTTTATAGTGCTTTCTGGTAATGTGCTTCTAAATCTGTCCAGAACTTTGATACAAACTGGAAAACAAAGGTTTTTTCAAATATAATATGGACAAATTGCTACAACTAAACAAAACAGATTTGAATTTTAGGGGTGTAAACTGCTTTTAAAAATTATGACTTACCTTCACATTCTCCAGCTTTCAGCGACTGTACGGAAACTATAGACGCAAAAAGGGTGAAAATCAAGAATTTCAGCTCCATGTTCAGTTATGTTTTTCCAGAAAAACTATTCCAAAATCTAGAGTAAAGATTTTTCGAGGTTAAGAACGATTATTGCTTGAAACACTGCTACTATGATTGAAATGACTTACCTTAATAGTTGATATAGTTAAATCCAATCAAGAACAATCTGTTTTTAGTTATTTGAATTTGAATTGTAAAAAATGTAAAGGTACCCAAAATTTTATGAATGAATAGTGAATACTAGGAACCTCAATTTTAAAACGTCAGTGTCACCGTTGGCGAGCTGTGATTGGTCCACGTTTTTCGCCTTTTAAATGATGACGTATGTATTATACGTGATGTGGGTCGCCTAACATTTGAAATTATTTTTGTATTGTAATTTAAATTTAACAAAAATCAGGCTTTTCTCATCAAGTTTGTCTGTATTATTCGATAGTAACAAATTATGTTCACTTTACAGTTTTTCTCAGTAAAAAGAATAGGAGTGGCAAAGTGGCGCCATCTAGTATTGAATAACAAGAAACAATTTATTTTACTAGGGTCTTACAATGTTGCCAGTAGAATTAAAGTATCAGGATATTTTTTGCAATTTTCTAAATTATTTCGTGTCAGGTATTACAAATTTGTGGCTTTATAATGAATAGAGTTTCCAAAAATTGTACAGCAATAGTCAAAATCCCAAAGTAGCACTTTTCCTTCGTATGCATATAAAACTGGCAACACCGCATTGTCAGATTTGTTGATTTGTTTTGGTTTTTCATTTTGAGGTTATGTGTATTGTGTATCTGCCTGGAAAAAATTGAGTAGTATTAATTATTATTTTCCTTGTAAAAGTTTGCATAAATTCGTATTAAAACATGACCAGACACGCGAGAAATTGTACGGCTGGAGCCGTGTATACTTACCACGAAAAAAAGAAAGATGCCCAGGCCTCAGGCTATGGCACAAATTCCCTAAGAATGGGTAAAGATTCAGTGAAGAATTTCGATTGTTGCTCTCTGTGCCTTCAGCCCTGCAGAAATCCTGTTATAACGTGAGTAAAACCCTCGGTTAAACCCCTATTTCTTTTCAGAATTCTCTACTTTTTTATTCCCGTATCACATTTCCTAGGAATCCTAGGCAATAGTTTAGTGAAAAATAGAACCCTCTTACAGTTTACAGTCAGTTTTACAGAGTTGGGTTGGCAAAAATTCGGGATTAAAACCTAACATTTTTGAACAGATAACTGAAGAAGTATCTGAGAACATTTGGAAGATTTCTGTTAACTTCTAGGACAATTCTGAACTCTCAGCAATATTTTAAAAAGCTTTTGGAACACTCTAGAACTCGTAATATGGAAATTTTGGAAACAATCTAGAACTTGAAACTTTCAGAATATCTGGAAAATCGTCACATGACACTTTAGAAGTAACTTAAAACTTCCATGAACATATTAGAACTCTTAACTAATAGCCGGAGAGCCAGCGCCGAAAAAACTCGCTGAATTTACTAAAGTCAGTTGATTACAGGTTGAAGTTTAAATTAATAGGTTTGTTCAGTAATATTAATTTATTTTGCAGATTTTTACATTTATTGGGGCTGACTGACCAGCACGGTCCCGCTATTCAACTGACTGACTAACACTACTGTTGTTTATATGTTATATATAATATGTATATTGATTTTCAGCTTTAGTAAATTCGTTTCATTACCCAAGTTATCTCAACACCTTTAACAAGACACCCTGGGTCCTTGTCCCAAGTTTCGCTTGACTGACCGTCATATGTTTATGTACGCAAATACTGTAATCAACTGTACAAAAACTAGCTTTAGTAAATTCAGAGAATTTTTTCGGCGCTGGCTCTCAGACTATAACTTTAAAAAAAAATCTTCTTTTGGTAAGTATTTTTCACTGGATGAATTTGAAATTTTAGTACAATGACAATACAATAAGCTTCCAACTTTTCTCTTTCTACTCCAAAAATTTCAGAATTTTCCCCTTAATAGTTTTTCCAAAAAGTATCAAAATATGAAGAGGTGGATTTTGTTTTTGAAAGTTGATTTTCCAGAGTTTCTTTTATTGTTGTTTTCCATTGGATCAATTTGAAATTTTAGTATTATGAGCTGCCAACCTTCCTCTTTCTCCTCCAATAATTTTAAAATTACTAGTTTTACCAAAACATAGGTAGGTAGCAAATGAAAGTGGATTTTCAGGAATTTCGTCTATTGGTATATTGAGAATTTAAACTATTCTGGAATAATAATTAGTCCTTAAAAATCACAAACCAGTCAGAGTGAATTTCATATGTTGAAGCTATTTTTTTGACTGTTTTTAACAGATGATATTCCCTCTAGCTGGTTTGTGATTGCTGTACGAACAAGCCTATTATCAGAAGCTACAAACCACAAATCATAGATTTTTGGTTTCCAGCAAAGATGGTCATTTGTTTGACAAAGAAGTTATCCTCGAATACATAATAGCAAAGAAAAACGAGTACAGCAGAAACTTGAAAGACTATGAAAAATTGAAGAAAAAAGAAGCAAACGATGAAGCTGCTAAAAAAGCTACTGAGTATGAGAAGAAAGTTACGCAATTTATAAAAAATGAAACCAATATTGCTAGCACAAAAATTGATGGTTTCAAATCAGGTATTATAAAATCTCCCTTAATATTCTCAATTATTGCTGTTGCAAATTTTTGTTACCCAATTTTCAATAAAAATAAATTTACTGGTTGATTATTATTCACTCTAGAACCAAGTACATCGTCCATTTCGAATATGGCCAATGGAAAGGACAAAGAGCTGCCAAGCTTCTGGGTTCCCGGACAATCGTCTCAAGCGAAAAAACCCATCCTAGAAAAACCGGATCCTACAATTTATTGCCCAGTTTCGGGCAGACCTCTAAAAGTTAAAGATTTGATCGACGTTAAATTCACTCCTGTGAATGCGGAGGGTGATAAAAAATCGATTCACACTAAAGAAAATAGGTACATGTGCGCCGTTACTCATGACATATTGAGCAATTCGGTGCCTTGTGCTGTCTTAAGACCTACGTAAGTATTTTGGCCATCGTATTTATGTTTTTTCAATTTAAACTTATAGGGGAGATGTTGTTACTTTGGAATGTGTAGAAAAACTAATTAAAAGAGACATGCTTCATCCAGTAACTGGCCAGAAGCTTAAAGAAAAGGATATAATTGTTATGCAAAGGGTATGTAGTCAATATACTTAAGTGAAAATATTAATTGAAACATGTTTATTTTTTTTTTAGGGTGGTACCGGTTATGCTTTGACCAATGAAAAATTAGAAGCAAAATCGGCAAGGCCTGTTTTACAAGCTTAAATTTAAGATTACCCAAATTGGTTTCAATTTTTTCCATATTATAATTATATTAATAATTAATTACTAACTAAATACATAGCGTTTGAAATAACTTGTCTGTAATTTAATAATAGTTGTTGCTTCTCCTTATGAAAATCAAATAAAACAAAAATAAGGTAAAGTTATATAAGTTTATTTTTCTTACATACAACATTATATGTAATTAAAATTAGTACAATCTCTGGGGTGGTCCCATGGTGGATTTGACATGAAGAGACCTCACATTTTGCCAGTGCTTCTTCAACAGCGACACCAAAAAGTTGACTGAAAGATGAACATTTTGGACAAGTTCATCTGGGGTCATGTCAACATGTCCAACAGCTACTGACAAGCAAAGTACCTTCTTCATTTGGAACTTGATGGTAGCTTTGACTTCATCGATTTTCTGAGTCATAGATTCCTGGTGAGATAAAAGACCAGGGAATTTACCAGCTTTGTTAAGACCGGGTCCCAATAGACGGGGGATTTGTTTGATCAAGGCTTCAGAAGCTAAGAAAGCATCGTATTTCTTGGCCAATTTTTTGACGAGTTTTTTGTTTTTGTTCAGCTTTTTCAAAGCCTCGACGTCCATGCAGGGTACTTCATTAGCTCTGGCTTCATCAATGTGCTGCTGGTCACCAAGAATGCATACTTGCATTTTTGGACGAGGAATGTGCTTTAGTCTGGAAGAAAACTATCTCATAAGAAAAATACTTTGTCAAAACGAAGTTATTATTTATCTTGGTAATGTCAAAGATTGTTTGCAATTTTAAAGCCACAATTACACAGATACTGTAAAGGAGGTAGTTATAATTGCAGTTTTCTTTTGCATTAATCTTCCGTACAAAACAAATTTGTTTTTTTCATTGCCTTGTTGGCTTGATTATGCAATTTTTAGTTTATTTTTCATGATTTTTGGACTCAAAAAATAATGAAAAGCAAACCACTATAAGTGGAAATAAATCAAGATAAAATTATACAAGACTCACCACATTTACCTCACCATTAGAAGGAAAAACTACGATATTTTATTTGGTCGATACACTTGGAAAAATTCCAAGTGATATCTCCCCAGTTATTTTAAGACCCTGGGTGCAGGTCCGCCAGCTAGTGGCTTCCTGAGTTTAATAGGTAATTTAAAGTCAAAATGGCAAATTATATGGAAATTATTTTGAAACTCTATAGACTTTAAATTTCCCATATTCAGGTAACATACTTGACTGTTCCGCTGAAACGTTTGTCCTTCTGGGGATCGTAGTTTTTCAAACCAATTTGGATCTCCACTGTTTCTAAGAAGTTTTTCTTCTTTTCCTTGGCATTGGTCAGAACGGCGTTGACACACTCGTAGAGTGTATCCCTCGATACCTTGGAGCTGGAAATTACAAAGAAATGAAAAACGTGTAAATGGGGGCTACATTTCGCTTTGAGGTTAGGTTTTGGAATACCTCATGGATTAGATTTTTATGTTTTGGTGTTCAAACTTTCAAACAAAAACAGAATCAAACAACAATTTCTAGTTTACAGAAGGCAAAAGGGGCCCCACGTCATCAAAAAACGAGCACCAAAATCACATCTGAAACACGTGTTTTTGAAAGCGTCCCAGAATTTTGCCCCCTTCACTGAATTTTTTACCCAATTTCATTCAAATATAAGCTTTCCCTTAATCCTAGTTAGTTAAAGATTTAAAATAATTAATAATTATCTATTAAATTAGGTACTCACGTCATTTTTAATGGGGCAAGAGAAAAGACGTGCTCTTCTCACTAAAGTTTTTGATGAAAAGAAAATTTTTTGATGGCGTTTCGACAAAAGACTTGACAAATCCGTACGTCAATGTCGTTTATCACTCATGATTGGTAGCATTCAGCCGACGTTACTTTTCCAAACCAGAGGACAAATACGAATCCAGAACTGATTTGAAGCAGTTCAATCAGAACCAGTGACTTCGTAGTTCGTGTGACTCCTAGTGACTTCGTAGTTCGTGTGAGTCCGAGTTACTTCGTACTTCATGCGACTCTGAGTGAATCGTATTTTTAAAGCCAGAACGCGATCACACCGAGAAAATTCATTGTTCGTGGTTCAACTAGAATCGGTTCCGGATCAATACTGAACCAGCCGAATTGATTCGATTCATATAGAACAATGCTCTATGTTGAACCAGTTCCAAACCAATATATCTCTGTTTCAAACTAGTTCGGAATGTGATGATTTGCACTATTTTCCAGTTGGATAGCTCTTCGAGGAGCTCATCAAAATATTCTAGCTCAACTTTTGCCCTAGAATTGACAAAAACTTTGAGTTTCATACTTTTTTTATTGTTATTTTAAGGGTCGGTTCTCAATAGTTTCACACCTACGAGGAGCTCCGTAACAGCTCCGGGGCTTCGTTAGCGGTTTGCGCCAACGGTCATAGTTAAGAATATACACCGTGCGTTCGGTATTTTGATCTGAGTTCTACGAGCTTGAATTAACCGTTCGTTTATTTAAAAAGTGTACTCGGTGCAGCCTCATTAGCGTTCGTTTAATAAAATTTGTGGCACAGTTATACAGCGTTCAACTGCTCTGTTCGCTCGCTACTCACGTGATTGCGGCTACTGACAGGTCTTGTCATTTTTCGTTATTTTTGAGTTGAGTTCGGAATAGGACTTTGGGCAGTGCTAGTGCGGTGTTCGTGTAGTGCAGTGTTATATCACGTGATGGAGGTGTAATCGGCGGTGTAACACCAAATACACCATCATTTTGTACCGAGTAAACGGTGTCCTACCATCTTCACACTATTCGGACACCAAATTATTTCTAAACGCAAATAAAGTGTACACCAAACACTCCTACCAATTACGAACGCCACGGTGCCAATAGTGTAAAAAGTGTCGACACTTTCCACCATTCCGAACTCACCTTGGGTGAATCGTGGCCGCGTTCATCAGATACAAACGTTGATATTGAAAAATATATTTGATCGAGATTATTGAGGGCCGAATTTATAGTTGTTCCTTGAGTCTTCCTTGGAGGACATTAGTTTAGAATGGGCATTTGGCTACTTTTTGACGAGCGAGTCATGTCAATTCTAAATGTTCAAGGCTTCCTTAAGGTCTGAGGAAACCTCAAGGAGCGACTATAAATTCGACCCTTAATAACATAAGCCAATTTTAAGCGATTGACCAGTCGGTCATCTTGACAGATAAGCCATGCATTTAGCGCCAAAATGACCGCAAACGAGATCTAAACAAGACAAATATGCACGAAACAAAAATCAGCTTAATCACCTATCCTATGGTGCAAACACCCTACGTCAAGGCAAGAAATGACACGCCTCCTACGTCATCACTGGTACTCTGGCGTGTTGAGGGGCTTGAGATCTATTCAAATGGCTATAAACCACCACTTAAAGTATCTATTTTTCAACTTTTCAGTGTACGACCACCAGTAAACCGCATAAGAACATGCATGGTCTCATTGATGACGCATGGGCAAAGTTAAAAAATACAAACTGTAATTATTATTAACAATAATTATTATTGAAGTTGTTGCAGATAGGCAGAGAAATATAAAAAATACACCATAAATTACAGAAACATACATTTTTGTGTTAGATATTAGAGAGTTCTCGTGCCTCAGACGCTACGCTAATACGGTACCGCTAACAATACGGTATTTTACATGGTATTTTATAGTTCTCGGCCACGAAGACACAAAAATCCTCTTATCCCTTATTCTGTTTACGTTTTGACAGCTGAGTTGAGTGATCTAACCCCCTTTTTATTGCTTGTTTTCTAACTTAATTATTATTTATCCTAAAGATTCTGAGTTTGAATAATTTTCACTTGGTGTTTTTTATGGTCTTCATGGAGGGATAATTAAAAGTAACTGTTCTTGCAGATGTAAATTGAGCGGAAACTAATTTTGACATAAAATAGCGTTACGGTAAGGCATCCGCTAAGTCCCGTTAGATATAGCGGGCTCCGTTAACGATAATATCGTAAGAACTGTCATACCTGTCAAATAGCGTTACGTTATTTGAAATTTGGACTGCACGAGAACTCTCTATTTGTGAAAAACTATACCGGTATGAACTGTCAAAGCAAAGCCGAAATTATTGGTCCGAACGGATTCGCTAATGACTTTGTGAGAAATTGGCCCTAAGAAGAGCCGTGACTAGAATTTCCATGCATCGTTAGTTCAAATTTCAGCTCTAAATAGCCGCGAATAGGATTTTCACGTTTTATCAGTTGAATTACACAAGAAAATTACAGCTCCAGGCATATATATGGGCGCGTTCTTTTATTCAGCAATGGATCCATCTGCTGCCAGCATTATAAGACAGACATTCCTATTTTCTATGAGCTATAGACAAAGAAAGGCTGATTACTGATGGATCTACCGCTGAATGAAAGAAAGCGCCCTATCTTTCAAATCGGAGGCGAATAACACTAGCGAGTTTCTCGAGTGTTCTAAACTCTTGAAAGGAATACAACTAATGCCACTCTAGTTCAACTCGATGTTCAACTCCATCTCTAGAATCGCCAAAAATCAGAGTTTGATAATTTTCCAAATATTTTTTGTGTTCAAAAGAGCAATAAATAAATGCTGGTGCAGTGACGTCACAGATCTCTACGGGGAGGACTCCCGATAGCGATACTTATCATCCAAATCAGTGCACACCATTTGTAATCAATACTTCACACCTGTCATAATCTATGCATTTTGCACTCGAACGCTTGAAACCGAACGGGTCAAACCGTAGCCGGGGTACTTCGGAGTAACTCAGGAGCGCTCAATGAGTGGCACCCGAAAGCTGATTCTGAGCAGTTCAAGTTCAAGCATATTCAGCGAATTCGAGCTATCAGCGATCGAATATTATCGACAAAAATCGATGTTCGAGAAATCTTATCGATTGTTTTCGATAGTAGTATACTATCGATAGTTTTGAATAGAGCTATTTATTGTTTTCGACGTCTACACTCCACCCTACTCCTACAAACCTTGGTTTTCAAAAAAAGACTAGCTATTTAAATACAGTGTGTCCATAAAGTAACGGAGAAATTCATTTAAAATTTAAGCATGTTTATTGGAAAAAGGCTCAGACACGTCAATCAATCTCAATTTTCAGTGGCTAACCCAAAAAGGAAACATCACGTGACACTTGAAATTTTTAAATGAAATGCCCTGTATATTTTGATGAATATTGATAGAGCGCATCAAGATGAATTCTCGTTCTATCCATATCCATATTCATCAAAATATACACGTACTGCATTTCATATAAAAAATTGAAGTGTCATGTGATATCTCGTTTATGGGTCACCTGGTATAAATTCAAATTAGTTTGAAAACAGCGCAACTAAAAATTAAGATCGACGTGTTCGAGCGTTTTTCCATAAAAAAAAAATATATGCATTTTAATTGAATTTATCTGTTACTTTACGGACACACTGTATATGAATGCGCAAGTTTTATTAATTTTACCTACGAATGTGCAGTAAAGTGCACTTTACCGCACCTATTTGCAAATGGCAAGTAGCAGATTACCGGACACTATGCGGTGAAGTAGACTTGTCTGCTTAGTGTGCGGTAAAGTACCTATAGACTTCGGAGAGGTAGATAGATAATGCTCATAGGTAATATGTAGTACCTAATACGTGCGGAAAGTGCCTTATTTACTGTCTTGCGTGTGTTAAAGCATCACTTTCCACATTTGCTAGGTAAATATAACTATTAACAACCTTAAGAAAAGATTGAGCTTATCATTGTCCTAGTTTTATTCTTATAGCAAAAAGGACAACTAAAATTATTGTAAAACAAAAATATATTAAAAAGTCTTTATTAAAGCAAGCTACTGAAAAACATATTTTCCATTTTTTATACTTAATTTTTTCATTTTACTCTGATTCACATATTTTTCTTTACGTAATTAATACAACAAAATTTTTCTACAAATGAATGAAAATAGACATTTCCCTAATAGTATCCGATTGGATGTCAGAACGTTTCAAAAACGTACATCAAAATACCTGCTGAGAACGTCCAATAGACATTTTTCTCTATAGTGCAAATTAACGTTTTTACCGTTTGTACTATTAGGGAAATAAGCACCAAATTTTAGAAAAATCAGAATTGATAAATAAATAAGAACTTGTTACTTAGAAAGTAAAATTACCACAATTGAAGGCACATTTTCGCTATTATCGCCTTTTATTTTATCACAAAAACAATTTATTCCTAACTCTTGGCATTCAGACAAAACGAATCCAAAACTTAAAAATTACACTAATATGTAATACCAAATTTTAGTACGTATCTACTTTAGGGCTTTGCCCAATCCGGATAGGCATCGAAATCCCAAATATAATTACCTAATATTGGAAATACTAGAAACAATGTCGCTAGAGAAATAACTGCTACGCCCAATCCAGCTTTTGCCATTTCTTTCGACGACATATTACACGGAGCTGCCGCTATTGCCATCGGCGGTGTCGAAACTGGCAGGCAGTAGGAGAACGAGCAACTTAAAGCCGCTGGCATCATGAGGTACATTGGATGGATTTTGGCGACCTTAAGAAAATAAGTTTGAGGTCAATGCACGCATTATTCAAACACTTACAATAAGTTACAAGAACTCAATGCAAGAGCTAGAAGTTTCGTTAGAAGGAGTTGTAAATAATATTATAGATAACTTTGTAAAAAGCCTTCAGTTCTAGTTTTTCATTCATTAGTCATTACCCAGACAGCACAAAAAGTCTTAAAGACGTCTTTGTTAGGTTTGCATTGTGTCTGAATGTCTGAAGACCAAAGTCGTAAATTCACATCTTAAAGATAACTGAGCCACACTATTAATTAAAAAGAAATTCAAAGACGCCTTTAAGACATCTCGTTGAAGACGTCTTTAGAATGTCTTGTGAAAATGTCATAAAATAAAGACGTTTTTAGGCAGACGTTTGAGAGACGTTGGGTCTTGTAACATAAAACGTCTTTAAGATGCCTTGAACACGTAAGCAGACATCTGAAAAACGTCAGTCAATAATTTAGAAGTTACTTGAATTGAAATCATTTAAAATGCTACAGAAGGCTTTAGAACTTTAATACCTAAGCCTTTTGGAAAGTTCAAAACACTTAAAATTCAATTCAGAATTTCGAAAAGTATTCTGTAACGTTACAGAAGAATTTGGAAACTTCAGAACCATTTTAGAATACTTCTAAAACATTCATAAACCGATTTACAATTACCAAAAACATTTTAGAATGTTTCTGTATGTTGTCTGAGTATAACTTGCGTATTTCGATTAGACAAAAACCGTCTGTTATAGACGATTGTATCGAAATATTACTTACCAAAGACATTTCAGCCAGCACAGGTAAAACAACATTGGCGACAGCCACATTACTGGAAAATTGCGTCAGCAATGTGGCAAACAAACACGAAATAACCATGACCCAGAATCTGGGCAGCATTGCGAATCCGTGAAGATGGTCTGCGATCAGTTGACTCATTCCGCTTACTTTGGATGCTTCTGCCAAAGCGAAACCTCCTCCGAGGAGAAAGATTAGACCCCATGGGAGTTTTTGGTGGACAACCTAAAAAGGGAACAAACAGATTGGATTATATTCACATTTTATAGTTCATTTGTACAGGTTTATTGCTCCTATTTTTCAAATAGACTATAAGTAAAGTTACAACAGAATAAACTTTACCATAAAAAAATTACTGTACTCACTTTCCATGTCAGTAAAGCTTGAGATGGAGCCTTGGGCCTTTTATTTTCATTTTTGCTAAACATATAAATAAAGTCTGGAGTCGAAGGGATAACGAATAACAACAATACTACTATTAGAGCTGCAGTGGCATCTTTGACCTATAAAAAAAATAGTAGGTAGGTAATTTACAAAAACTAATAATTTCTTAGACTTACTTTGTGCTGAGTTATCAGTTCTGCCCAACCAGTAATGAATTGCGGTTTCCTAAAGAACCATAAAACTACCGAAAATACGAATAAACTACCAACGGCCTTCTCATGAAAAGACATGGGTCCCATCTCTTGCAATTTTCTGCCGATGAGCTTTCTGGCTACGGTTTCTCCTTGCAATCCAACTCTAAAAGAAAGAATCACGTTTGAGTAAATGAAAAGTTTTGGATTTATCATTACTTTAATTTTTTGGCATCTGCCGAATTAGGTCTGAAAAGTCCCATGTACCAAAATTGCAACCAGATAACGGTGAGATACATCATTATTAACATCATGGGTACATTGAGAAACAACCATTTTGCGAATTCCACACCTGGACCATCGTCAAATCTATTTTCGTAAATACCTAAAATAAATTATACAGATACAATTTATTGTTTCTTGTAAAATCTCATTGATTTATTAACTCCATAATGATGTTTGTTAGGTATTTTTCATTTGTAGATGGGGTAAAGTATGGTGCATTAAAGCATTTTCTATATTTATCATTCTGTTTACCTTTAAATGTTAAATTGGTACCACTTCCAATGATGCACCCATTTCCACCTATACAAGCCGCATAAGCCGTGGACATAAAATAGCACATCGTTTCTTTCGTAGGTCTTTTCTGCTGCTCTTCCTCCTCGCCTTCTCTAAAAGAATCAATGAGCAATTAACATTATTAGGCACTTTGACTACCTACTTAGGTTTTTCTCCATCGATGTAAGGAGTAACAAACATCTGTCCGATGCCTTGTTCTTCCAATTCAATCAATGTAGCTTCGATTATCGGTATCATCATTGCCGTTGCGGCAGTGTTCGATATCCACATGGATACTAGCATCGTTACGGTTACCAGTCCTAAATTTAGTTTTCTGGGACTGCATCCTACCTGAAATAATTTCAAAAGTTTTTTTTGCAAAATGTTAAAGCCTAATAAATATTAACATTACTTGTTACAGGCATATTCATTAGAACATGTTCGAGGGCTTTGAGGCTTCTTTTTTTTTCTACATTTAACGAAACAGTATTTATAAAAGAGACCGGTCAGCAAACAAATAACGAGAGTTGTTATGAGTATCATTGGATTTTGATTTCATTACAAAGAATTTGGGTTTATGACAAAATTGTTTCAAAAAGACATTGACGGCTTAAATCAAAAATATACTGGAAAAAGCACCTTGTTTCGTATACAGAGTGATCCTGTTCAACTGGTCAAAAATGCTAGGGTATACACCGTGATTTATGTAGCCCGTGCATTAGAAGTTGTCCAGTTTGCAGATGGTTTAGCAGAAAAAGCATTCAATCCACCTGTAAGCTAATGCACGAGCTACGAAAATCACCCTGTATAGAGGAACCATAGAGAAGTAGTTTAAGATAGGACACCGATGGGAAAGTGCGTCGTTTCAAAAATACAGAGGGTTTTTTAAATTTAAACAGCCTCCTTTCATATCACCTCAAAGGTTAATGCTAGACTGTTCAAATTTTAAGGGATTATTGATGTAGGAATGATATTTAAAAATTCGTATACCTAATGCAACTCCCTGAAAATTTGAACAGCCTAGCATTGAGGTGATATGAAAGGAGGTTGTTTAAATTTCAACACCCTGTATTTTGGAAACGACGCACTTCCGACCTATCTCAAACTACTTCCCTATGGTTCCTCTATACTTATACCCTAGCATTTTTGACCAGTTGAACGGGGACACCCTGTATATAATAATATAATACTCGATTAAATGGTTTTGTATATAAAGCGCGTAGTAAGTTTCAAATACTTCATACAAAAATCTATCAATTTTTCTCGGTTTTACTATCACGTACACTGATACCCAGACAGCACAAGACTCAAAAGTCATCTTAAATACGTCTGCTTACGTCTTCAAGACGTTGTATGTTACGAAACCCAGACGTCTTCAGGACTAATATTTCATTATTATATTACTCATTTTATAACTTTCAATTTTTGTCCATTCCAGGCGCTAGGCTCTCTGAAATAATTCTGAGATGTTTAAATTGTTCTGGAGTCTTTCAAAATGCTTCTGGAAAGTGTTTTATATCGTTCTAAATGGCTTATTATTGAAGTTCTAAAGTGTTCTAACTTGCTTGAAAAGTTCTGGAGCATTCCAAAGTCTTTCAGTAATTTCTAAATTGTTCTGACAGACTTTCAAGTATTTTAGAGCCCTATTGTGTTCTAAATTGATTCAAAAGAGTTCTAAAAGGTTTCTAGCTCTAAATTGAATCCTAATTGTTCTAGGATAACTCTGAAGTTTCTCAATGGTTCCAAAATGTTCCTGAAAATTCTAATTTAAATTTAAACTGTTTTGAATGCTTATCAGAGGTCTACAGTTCTACAGCTTTTTGCAATTTTCAACCTGAATCAGATTCTGGCGCTTTTCAAAAGTTTCAAAATGTTTCTGGAGATTTTAGAGTGTTTGAGTGTTTTGGAGCGTCCTAAAGTGGGTTTCAAACTTCTGAATTGTTCTAAAGTGCTTTTGAAAATTGTAAATCGGTTTTTGAATGTGTTGGGGAATTCTTGAATGGTTCTGAAATCGCCAAAATGTTCTGAAGCGCTACAGAGTACTTATGGATAGTTTGAATTGAATTTTAAGTGTCTTGAACTTTCCAAAAGGTTTAATAATGCTCTAAAGTGTTCTGTAGTATTCCAAATGGTTTCCAGTACTTCTAAATTGAATGAGAAAACAATTCTGTGGGAAATTTTTTGTATACATCTTGAAGACGTCCCTAAGATGTTCACAAACGACATTCAAAACTAATCAAAACATCTTGCTTACGTCTTGAAGACGTCGTATTTTACAAAACCCAACGCTTCCAGTCTGCCTAAAGACGTTTTTAGGACTAAGACATTCTGAAGAACGAGATGTCTTAAAGACGTCTTTGGATCTTTTCTGAATACATAAACCATTATTTACTTCTAGGTTTTAAACATTAAGATGTGAATTTACGACATCTTATGGACATCTTCAAAACAACGCCTTCTAGACGTCTTTTCTCTGGTCTTTAGACGTTCAGACGTAGGTGATGCAGACCTAAAAAAGATCTTCAAGACTTCATGTGCTGTCTGGGTATTATACGAAAATTACAGGACCTGAAATTAAATATTTTACTTCCAAAAAAGACAGATAAGGTGTTCAGTTATATATGTATTTTTTATTTAGTATTCCTTTATCGACACCAGATCATTTACAGATATTTGCTTCTTCATTATGTACGCGTCAAACTGGAACAGTTTTACCATTGGTTTTACCCGAATCTAAAATCCAAATCAGTTGAAACTAAACTATTTTTTCACAAAAATGATTTTATACTTTTACAACAAGAACATCTTTGAGGCTTTGGTTTTTTCCGATATTCTCTAACACAGGGATCAACACAATAACTACAAAATAAGGTAGCCAGCAAACAAGCCGCGAACGTTGTTGCAAATAACATTGGATTTGGATTTCATCAGAAAATTTTTTGGTTTATGACAAAGTCATATATTAGACAGTGACTTAACTTTACTTTAGGGCCAAATTATGGACCGACTGATAAGTGTCAGGTTATTACCTAGCAGGTACTTTCCATGCTCTAGAGAATAGAAAGTACCTGCTAGGTAACAAACAACCTGACACTTATCAGTCGGTCCATAATTTGGCCCTTAATCTGACATATAAATTAAACTTACCCTTTTGATAACATGTAAAGCCACTCTCCTATGCAAATTACAATGTTCCACTGCAATGGCTATGACCAAACCACCGACAAACATCATGTTGGTCTCTTTGAGGTAGCACAAAGATACTTTATCTGAATCCAATACGCCCATCAGGGGGAACAGTACCATGGGTATTAGAGAAGTTATGGGAAGAGGTAGAGCTTCAAAAACCCTGTATAGAAAAATATCAAGTTATTTTACCTTATAAGTATAAATGGTGTTCTCACCAATAACCGGCCATAAGAAGAACAACGTAGAGACATCGTAAGGCTGCAACGTTGTCGAATACGAAAACTGGAAGCAGTGCCAGAGGATAGAACACTATGAAAAGAGTTTTCCAGTATATTCTGATGGCGTTGAATATTAAATGGCTTGCAGATGCCATGTCGGTGGAGAGATCTGTTACAGATTTCACTGAAAAGAAATAACATAACTTATTATGATGTGAATATTTAAGCTAAATGTAGTAAGAGACGATTTCTCTATCAATAAGTGGTGTATGGGATTTTGTTTGGTAAAACAAAATTTCGTTTTCAATAAAAAACAATAACAGTTCATATTTTTAGCAAATTATCATAAAATTCATAATCTGGCCGTGACCAGAATCATTGTGTTATTATTTTTATATTTTTCCCAAAATATGCTCTACATTGGCCATCAGTCCGGGTCAGCCAAGTCATCGTCCGATAAAAAATAAGAATGAATTATTGATTAATTACCGAGCTATCAACTGATTATCAAGGCATACGGTTAAAAATTGCATGTTTCACCAATGTCTTTTCGAATTTTAATTTAGTGGAACAATTATGAGTTTTCCAAACATGCGTTTTCCTGTTTTACCGTTTATTAAAGGCAGGATGGATAAGAGAACTTTCATTTCTATTGAAACATTTTACCGTTTCAAGAGATTTTGATGGTAATTATTATGAATAAAAAAACGAAAATCTTGACTAAATAAGACAGGATAAGATAAAGTATAGGTAGGTACCTATTTCTTGATTTTATAAGAAATAGGTAGGTACCATCGTCACCAAAAGTAACTGGGACAGCATCACATTAGCTCTTGTCCTATTGTATGAATTTTATTGTCAAATATTTGTCAAACTATCCATTAAATGCATTGAAATGAATGACAGTAGAATTAGTCCAGGAGATTATTATACATTATTTGTGTCCCAGATACTTTGGGTGACGATGGTACCTACTCATAGTTTCAAATATTATTTAAATTATATATGTATATTATCAAAATCACCGAATACCATATATATTAGTTTTCTTACTAGTGCCACATATTTCTTATGTTGTCTCCATAACTATTTTCTTAAAATACTTCCACATGTCTTCTACATTAGTATTCTCATTTATGCATGTATCATTAGAGAATCTTTCTGTTAATGTTTTCTTGTATCTCTCTGCTATTTCTTTATTTTGTAGTTTGTATAATTTCACTGATTCATATTGTATTTTTTTTCTATCTTTTGATAATCATGTTTTGTATTCTCTACCTGGCTCTCTAATTTTTGTGACAAGTAAAAAGTGGTCACTACCTATTTCCGGCCCTCTTCTAACCTTGATATCCAATACTTCCTTTCTATTATTCTTTTCTACGAATACATAATCTATTATCGACTTCTTCATTTCTGCTTTTCATCTCTCGTGTATATTTATGTATTTCTTTATGTTCGAAAAATGTATTAGTATATTTATCATTCCTTGTCCCTTCTTCTTTGTTTCTGTTATGGCTAGCAGTTTCAAGTCTGTGTTTTCGAATTCTTTTTCTAGTTCTTTTTCTTTCCCGAACATACTTCTAATATTCCACGTACCCATTTTACATATTTCCTCAGTTTTCTTGTTATCACTTCCTTATTTATAGTCCATTCCATTGCTGTGTTGTTTTCCTCATTCCTTGTATTGCTCGTTTGGCTATTCAGTTTTTTGATAAGGTTTTTCCTGTCTTTTTTAATTTATTTATTTCTTTATCCCATCTCCACTCCTCTGCATTTACCGTTACCTTATTGAATCCTATCTTTACTTCTTTGCCTTTTTGCCTTTCCTGATTTGCAAATATTCTTATTTCTTTTTGTTTTTCCCTTTCCTGCTTGGTCATATCATCATTTATAAAAACTCTTTCTCCACTCATGTCCTTGAGTTTTGTTTTATTTTCCATGATTTTCCTCTTATTCACTTCATTTTGTAGTTCTATTATCCAGGTTCTCTCTGCTATCCTGGTAACTGATTTAGGTGTAATATTAACTTGTGTTGGTTCAAAAATGCCTTCACATCTACCAGTACTGCCGGCTCATTGTTATCAAATTTTAATCCATTCATCACTACATTATTCTTTCTTCTCTCCTCATCTATAATTTCTATTGTTTTTCTCACCTCTTGCAATTCGGTTTTTATTTCTGTATTTTCTCTTTTAATTTCTTGATTTTCCCTTTTCAATACTTCGTTCTCTCCCTTTAATTTCAAGAGTTGTAAACGTTAATAAAAAGCCGAAAGAGGTGGGTTAAAAAACTCGAAATTTTATTTTTTTATGTTTTTCGAATTTTGACTTTTCCAATCGATAGAGCGGGTCTAAATTAGTCGGCACAAATCCTAAAATCATTGCCAATTGAAATTCTCTATAAATTTGAAATTAGAAGGTTCCAAAATGTCTAGGAGTCGCAGTCAAATCGAATCTGATGAAATTTCAAACTGTTCCAGGCACTTTTTTGAAGATGTTAAGTGGATTCTGTAAGATTTGAATTCTTGTCAGAAGAAACTCACTTGGAACCAGTCAAATTTATTAGAAATGACCAAAACATTAATGGGAGCTATAATGAGAATCATTTCCAAACTGATTCTGATTTATTTCTGAAGATGCTGCAGGGGTTTGAAGTCCAATTTGAAGAAACTTCAAAAAATTAGAATGTTTCAAAATGTCTAGGAGTCTCAGTCAAATCCAATCTGATGAAATTGCAAACTGTTCCAGACACATTTTTGAAGATGTTAAGTGGCTCCTGTAACATTTGAATTCTTGTCTTGTTACCAGTATAATCAGTAAAAGTTTTAAAAATTATATTTCTATATTATTTTATGGTTCTCATGTAAACGCACCCAAAGCTAGCCAATGTTCTATAGTTGACTTGATTGGTCAAAAATGGCGCTCTGTAGTATCAACATAGCATGTATCAACTCAATCGAAATGACTGGGTTTACACCGGTATCTTTTGATGAAAATCCAAAAATAAAATCTATTTTTTTTCTGACATGGTTAAGAAAAGGCGAAACGTCGGATTTCAAAATTAATAATGCCATATTGTGAAATTGCGTAACTTTGCCCTAATTTAAATAACCTTGTCTCCCTTATGGTTATCCCGAAATTTACTCACTAATTTGTAACACCCTATATATGTACCTATATAAAATTGTAGACAGGAAACTATAAGGTTGGAAAAAGGGAAAACGATAATCAATTAAATCCTTTTGAAAAGTTTGTGTCAGTTTTGTTGTAATTTTCAGTCTATTTCTACACTTGTCCTTGGATTTTTTCAAAAATATAAGTTTCTTTTCGAGTTTTCCCAAGAAATAGTACCCACCCAAGCTATTGTGGATAAGGGGTTTTCACCCTAGGACTAAGAAGATTGCCTGGCAATCATAACAGAATTTTTGCATGAGAAAACCAAATAAAACATTTAAATCGTGCATAAACTTACTTGATTTTCCTTATCAAAGTCACTTTGAACCAAAATAAATACTATACTCTTACACTATACTAATACAAATTTCTTTATAATAAATAAATAGTTAAAAAATTGACTAGATTTCTCAAAGAATTTCTAAAATAAATTTAAACTTTCTGACGTAGGACAGCCGCTGTCCAATGAAAATGCTGCTCGAGCGGATCGTACTTTTTGACCATACGAGGGAAGAACTTGCGCATCGTAACCGGCCAGAGACTGGAGCACTCGGTCCTAAATTTCCCATTTATACTGACCGCAGATTTAAATTATTTATCTAAGTTCATGGCCTAATTAAGTCGTTAAAATAAAATGATAAAATTAGGAGGTTGCAAATCTTTTTCCTGGACATTATAATTTAGGAACTATGTACTCCTATGATATGGAGTTCTTTTACTCTAGGAGTTTGAATAAATTCGATGAGGATTTTTTACGGAAATTGGAAGAAGTCTGAAGAATCTTAAAGGAAGTCCAAAAAGGACGAAAATAGCTGAAGTTTCAATGCACAATTTGGCAGATGCTTTATTTCCGGAAAGTCCTGAGAAAGTTGAAGAAATTCTCACACAAATTCAAAGAAATCAGAGGAAATTTAAAGGAGGTCCGAGAAACTAAGAAAAAATAGAAACTTTAAGGGGAAATTTTAAACTTTCAACCAAGTGCACAGAAAGTAAAAGAATTTCTAAAGAAGGAGAAGCGATTTTAAATGTATAATCTCAAAATAAATGATACAAAACATTAAATTTATGAATTTATCCATCGTTCATGATATCCAAAAGAAATCCCCGGAAAGCTTGAAGAAATCCGAGGATATATGACTTTCTTATAGGAAAGTTGGAAGAAGGAATTAGCTTAAAATATGAAAAATAGAGGAAGTTGCTTTATCCCTAGGAAGTTTAAAACTTTGACCCAAACAAATACCTACAGGAAGTAGAAAAGTTATTTTGTTATCTTATTTGTAATTTATTGGACATGATCCATTTCTAGTTTAGGCGAAGAATCTCTCTTTTGTTCCCTTGAGATTATCCAATCTTGAAATCAACAAATCATCCCCTTGAGCCCTTGAAACTAGCTTTATTCCAACTTTTTAAATTTCATTCTGGTTTCTCTGATCCATTGCTTTTTCCATAGACTTTTGCATTTGAAATCCTCTATGATTGAAAAATTTACACTTATATTATCAGTAATTATGCAGATTTGATAATCTATCTTGGACATCGATTATTATTTGTTTCAAAGACCTTTTTTTAAATATAATAATTACAAATCTACAGACTGTATTGCAGGAACAAAGAATCAGAGTCAAAAGTACAAAGTTTTTAAATGTAAATAAAAATGTTTTCGCGAAAAAAATAATGTCACTCTTTATCTACTGGGCTTATGATAGCATTTTGGTATAGTCATTTGAATCTTACTTCCTGGTTCCGGGTATCATAAGTTTAAAATCGGTTTGTAACTAGTACTTATAGCATCAGTTATCCAGCTCTGGTTTAGAAACAACAGAGGTCTGTTCTCACAGAAATCACAAACCAGTAAAGTCAGGGCGTTTTTGATTGGTGCAAATCGCGAACAATAAGTTTTCTGACTATTTTCAACCAATAAAATTAGTTTTGACTGGTTTGTAATTCCTATGAGAACAGACCTAATATGGTCTTATACATAGGATATATTTCTTTGAGAGAGTATTGTTGTTAAATACGTCATACGTACTGTAAAAAAACTATTTTTAGATGAACTTGACCTACCCACGAGGATGTTTTACCTATAAAAATATAAATAACAAACAATTAAATTTAGCAACAATAAATAAATAACCACAACAAATAAAAAGCCAAAGAAAAATAAAAAATTAGGTCAATAATTCAAAAATCGTCCGATTGACTAGTGATCCGTGACGAAAGGTTGCAACTATCAGTGGACGTCTGGGAAGTTGAGACATAAATTAATTACGTTTTGTGAATAATTATGTTGCAGCGTAAAATCCAGATAGTGACGTATATAAAGTAATAATAATTGAGAAAATATTTGCGTAGACTACTTACCCAATACTTATAAACGAGTTTTCTTTTACGCATCCATGATCACTCCAAATAATTGCTAGACTTCCAACTTTAAATTTCTTCCTGGCTTATCACAGTTCAAATAGTAGGTACATATTTACAAATTCCATTTCCGTGTTCCAGGTTTTAGATTTTCCTGGAACAATAAAAAAAAAATATGTAAATATCTGGGTAAAGGTCTGGTCAAGGGTTAGAAAAATAAGTAAAACATCGATGTATACATGAATACCGAATGCATTGTATTTAGCCATTAAAAATCGCAATATTGTCTAGACATATTATAATGATTTTAGATTCATTTGGAATGTTAGCAAATGTAAAATTAATACCAATAAATTTATGGGTAAGTCCTGGTACATTACGGCAATTTCAATGTATATAGTTTGGCAGCGTTATCCAGAATGCAATAGAAACAGGTGAAAGATCAAGTGGCCAAAGTTCAATATAGAGCAGTCAAACTGTACAATTAAAAAATAGCCATATAAAGACAAAAGTTGTTTCCAAAGTAGTACCTATATCATGTTACACCTATTAATTTTGGTTTTTAATTTATTTTACAGGTTCAATGCCGCGTCGTTAGGCACTAAATGTCGGATTAAATTCATTCGCTTGTCGTGACATAAATATCAGGATGGCATTTATGAATGCTGCGTTTTTTTCATTAGGTTGATCGCTATCGGTTTTTCGTAATAACTGGTTCCATATGAACCAAAATTAACGTTATAAATGGATGTTAAATTTGATTCGATCCACTTCCAGCATTCTCATTATTCCAAGTTCAAGCTCATCATTAGTTTGCAACAAAAATGACTATAAGTACATATATAACTTTGTACTTAAATACTTCAATCAAACATTTCTTGAAATGTATATAATGAAAAAGATGCAACGAATGTACACAAAAGACATACAATTTAGGTCAATCATTGTTGAACAAATTAATGACAATTAAAATATAATACAACTTAATAACATAATTCCATAAACGTTTCCGTCCCCTCTATATCATGACTCAGTGCGTGTTGAAAATTAATAATCATCTTGAGTTACAAAGAAAACACATCCTCATATAACCTATGAATATTTTCTTCAAGGATGAAAAAATCTTCAATTATTATCAATCCTTTTACTATACGTTATTACGTTATTTATTGAATAATGGTGTTGAATTTGTAAGAAACCAAGGTGCAAGGACCTGTTTTTAAAACAACTGAGAAAAAAAAATCAGCTACCTGACCCAGGTTTTAATTTTTAATCCCAAAGAATGCTGCTTGTTCATGAATAATGTTGAACGATTATAGAATTGTCTTGTTTTGTAACTTATTCTTAGGTATTTTGTAGGCCGTATGCATTATTTCTAATGACAGTAATTTTGGAGAAATATATCAAATTGTATTATTTCTAATTCAAACTTCTTGAAAATTGGATATTTTGCAGCCCAAATTATCCAGAATTCATAAAAACAATACGGAGTATTTCGAGTGATAGCAATTTTGAAAAATCAAATCAGCTTCATATAGATGCCACTGTAGGAGTGGGAGTTCTGACTCAATCTTGTTGAAAATTGGGTAGGTACCTATTCTATGTAGCCCATACCATCCAGAATTCATTGAAAAATAGTATTTCGAGTGACAGCAACTTTGAAAAATCAAATCAGAATAATGTAGAAGCTCTATAGGAGTAAAAGGCATTATGAAAATTCTTAAATTTTCAAAATTTTCAAATCTACAGTTTCTGACTCAATCTTCTGGAAGATTCTCCAAAACTTCAAGAAAGTTAAAATATGTTTATGTAGATACCTACCAATCAAAGATAAAAAGAAAATTGAATTCTGATCCATTGGAGAAGATACGTACCTACCTACTTCTTAATCTACTTAATACAAAAACCAGGAAAGCGTTTCCAGAAAATGATTTTTTGACATCTGGTGTTTAAAACACTTCGAAATCTTCATCTGAAACTAAATCTGGAACAATTCATAAGACACCAAAGAGTCCAATAGATTGAAGAAAGTTGGTGTGCTGTTAGCATGTCCATTGTATATAGATATTCCATCATTCAATGTCCTAGGGGTAAGTTTAGGATAATGACAGTTGTCATAGAAGTTGTCTGTGTTATAACGGTGTAGTTTTGCCCATTGCTTACGAGTAATAAACGACGCTGTTGAGTACTACAAGAACTATTATTTCACGCCTCAACCCTAACACGACAGTTGGAATTTGCAAAATTCTATAATTTTTTTTAAATGGTTATCGAACATATTTCGGGATTCCTTAAAAATTGGCCAGGAAAAACTGCAACAATTGTAGACTTGCTGGATATAAAAAACACATACGAACTTGAATTAGGATTATTTCTACTTCTAGCCTTAGGAAAGAAGAAAAACTCTAAAAACTACATTATGAACTATTAGCCTTTTCAGGATATTAAATACGATTTTACTTATTTATTGGCAAACACTTTAATCCTTTTAAATAATTAGTTGTATAATATAATAGAACTATTTATGTCAAGTGATTATAAATTGAAACAAAACTCATAAACTTTTTGCAATTCCCCATATAATTAAATAATTATATTTAGCCTTCCTTCGAACAACATGTCCTGATTATCTCTACAAATAGCTCTACACAAAAAGAAGTTGTAAAACAAGAGCGCTTCCATCAATCTGCCATTAAAGTCAATTAAGTCTTGCAAGGTTACAAAGTACAGCTTTGCAGAATGTTAAAACAGGTAGTTACCTACATCAATGTAGATAGTATATAACTTTAATAAATAATAATAAAAACTACAAGTCTAATGTCTTATTATTTTGTTGTTTCGAAACTTTCTAAGTGCGTCGTTATTTGTACGATGGATTTTCCCCTTGAAGTGTACTATGTATCAGTAAACAATACATCACAAATTAGTAATTATAAATCATTTTAATTTATTGTTCATTGTTGAAAAAAAAATTAACAAACGGTTCTGTTTATCAAACCATAATTTATTATAATATGATCTAATTTTGATTGTTTGAACTTTTTTATATTGTAAAAGTACAAGATTACAATGAGAATGAATAAAACACTTTACACTTATATTCTTGAATTAAAATACACAATTAATTAATTGAATTGACCTTTTTATATAGTGGCCGGAGGTGTGTCTTTTGCGTAATTTTACATTTAAAACGGAACGTATTAAATTTTCATTACATATAAAACAAGTTTATATAATATAAACAACGGTTTATGTATTTAGCTAGCAAATAAACATGAACTGTAATGTTTTTTGTCTA